TCTATTAAAAAAGTGTTCTTTTTTCAAAGTTATATTTTTGCACATTTATAAGATAATATGCTAGTATTTATGTGAAGTGATTTCAACATGCTGGAATAATGTTAACATCTTCGTTTAGATGATGAGATATTCCTCGATATAGGTGAAGATAACATTTGATCCTGCAGATATGTATTCTTAAAACCACTGGATCATCAAGGTCATTTAGATTCAAATTGAGGAAAACTGAAATTTCCACTTAAACATGATATGGCAATCCATCTAATGTACAGCCAATGCATTTTCTTTTCATGGAGCTTGGTGACTAAATGTGCTTCCAGTCATCGAACACTAGGGCGCAGCATTATGTTAAGGATAGTGAACAGCAATCAACACCTACACACAAAAAATATCTTATTTCCGAAGTTAATTTAGGGTAAAAATCTTTGAGCATGACTTGCACCATTTCCCATTTTATCCTTTCACTGTTCTTGATAATAATTTAAAAAAGCTTTTATTACCAGTGGCTTTCCTCTTCCCATTTAATTCATAGAGACAAACTCAAAATGAAATACAAGGCATAGTCAGATTGGTTCAGAAAAAAAGAAATTCATTATTTAAGGCACACCTTAATAGTTTGCAACTCCATCACATTTAAATACAATGAACACACAGTGAAAACAGAAGGACGACAAAACCTTAGTGAGGGATGAAATTCTCCAATGGGAAATAATTACATTATTATTACAATGGGTTTTTAATTAATTTGTTTTTCCAGAGTCAATTCTTATATGTCTGTGATATTTTATACCTTCGCCTTTTGGAAGGATCTAATCTGCAAATCAAAAAACATGGCGCTCCTATTACATATGAAAGAAATAAAATAACCATTAGCAAATATTATTTTTCTCTGGGTTTACCTATAGTCCATCTGTTTGAACTGACCCACTTTATCTTACAACTTACAAAGGAAACCACCTCTGGATCTGTTCAATCACATCAGTGATGACAATGACAATAATAACAACAACAACAACAACACAAAGGTAAGGTCAAAACGTTGTACCAATTTTAAATAGAAAAGTGCAGACAGTTTGAACTGAATAGATATATATATATGTTTAAATATAATAACAAGTATTATAGACTTGAACGAGTTGAGTCATATTAGAGATAGATAAGATCGGGGTCGATTGAATGGCTCAGCCTTAGTAGAAATCACATTTATTTATTGATTGTGAAAAAGCTCAGGTTTTTACTACCTCCACATTCAATTTAAGGAAACCAGCTAGTGCCATATCTCAAGAATAAGGCAACGTACACCATCAGCACACCTCAGAGGCCGGTGTCTTTAGTTAATCTTACAGTATGAATGAGCGGTATTTCCTTGCCTGGTATTTGTTTCCCTTCATTATTTTCTGAAAAATCAATATTGAGATTTTTTCCCCCCCACTGTTTTCCAGATGGTGTGGAATTTCAGATTACTGTTGAATGCCAACTGCAACTCATTACAGACCCAGTGTACAGACTTATCTGGTGGCACACATGTAATTGTGTATCCAACACACAAAAAAAAATGACAAGAACAAATATCAATGCAGACAGTAACTAAAAAGATTAATCTTATCTCGGACTCATCTTTAATCTTCGTCTATAAAAACCATTCCTAAGGGAATAAGTATTTACTCACAGTTTAAGATTTTTTTGTCTCTCTGTGCATCAATGCTACAATTGATGAAGAAGCATGTGCAAAAGCGAGGCTTAGTGCAGAACATATAACCTCTACCGTCTAACTTTTCTATTTCTTTGTAGCTTTGTTTGAAGAACCTAGGTGGTCGCCTGCAGATTGAGGCAAAAGTTAATCCAAATTATCAGTCTTTTAAAGGATTTTGACAAAAACAATTTATCACTTCATGCGTGGCCTTAACTACAAAGCTCCATAAAAACTTCCAAGGTCACGAATAGACCTTCAAGATTAAATTCAAAACTTTTGTTTCTGCATTTCAAAATTCTGGATCGGCTGTACAGCAGGTTGAATCATACAGTAGTGAAGAAGAGCTGCTTTTGCCTTTATCTGCATCTGATGAAGCTAGTTCCTTGTATCAAATGTTGCAGTCTTTGTTATCTTGACTATCAAAGCTAAGTATAATGACGACCATGTGTCTGCTGCTATGATAAAGTAAGCCATTCATGCTCAAGTCTACAGCTCAGCTCATTAACTTCTATGCTGGAGGAATCTGTGGTTGCTGCGATAAAAACAAAGGCCTCCTTTTATCTTATTAACCTCTGAATGTTTGTGGACTCTTGGTGTCCCGCTCAAGTCATGTCGATGTCGGAACACAGCTGTCCAGTCAACAGTTTTGTCTTTTAGAAGCCAACTCAACTCCCTGTGCCATGCCATTCAATGTAGCACAGGAGGACCATTGTTAAATTTAAATTATTAACCAGAAAATGCCTTGCTGAGACTGAGAGAAGTCTAAGCCGTTGACCATGTCTGCTTTATTTCCTAATGGCAGCTGATGTGGCGTCGTCTCCTTTGTGACCGCCACTTCACTTCAGAACACGACAGGCTGAGCCGACCTCAGAGCACCAGGATGATGTACGGGAGCATGAAATATGAGTGACGCCCAGCAGAGAGTCATTCCTCTTGGTGACAGGAAAGTGAAAACCCTGAGGTCACTTTCACTCCTGCAGTTCTGCAGCTCTTCATAATGTGTGAACAGCAATGCACAGGTGCATACATTTGTTTTTGAATAGATGCAATGGTGGTGCAGGAACACTGGTGACCACTTCTGAGTGTCTGTGCTGAATGAACAATGTGGTGTCTTGTGTGCAAATTGCTGATCTACAAGCTGTGGGCAGGTGAAAGTGATAATGGAGTGGGGTCATGAGCTCTATCCTGATAAGTAAGCAGCCGGCTTAACATTATTATTCTGTCCATCCTCTATCGCCTTGTTCTTGTCACTCGTGGAAAGCTCTGAAGACTCCGTGTCCACCCCGACTTTCTTTGACCTGTTAAATAAAGAGCATCTCCTGTTAGTTTTGAACAGATGGAAATCAAATAATATTCCAGACAGTTCATATTTGTTGTTTTCTCCTACAGGTCATACGGTGAATATTTCCTACAAGCCTTCATGTTGCCATTTTCTTCAGATAGTCACTTCCTGCAAGCTTTAATTTTCCAGTTCCCCTAGAGATTGAACTGTGTTGTGCAGTAGAGATGAAACAAGTTTGAGCTTCTCCAACTATTGGAATAGTTTACGTGTTGATTCAAGAAAAAAAGGAATCATCTAATCTTTAAATACAAACTTAAGACATGTCTCAGAGCAGACCAAACTTATGACCATGTTTCATCATTTCACTTTATCTTATGTGACTTAGTTTACATGCATATCAGTGGCTTTGAATAGTGGTTGTAGAGTTTTGCATAATTATTTTTGAGTCTCCTGGAAACATTTGCATTGTCCTTTCTGCAATATGTAGCACATTTCTGGATTTGCTCATGTCACTTTGCAGCACATGTCATCATATTGAATAAGTTATTTTTTTTAATATGCACTTGTTTTTTCTATTTGCATGTGTTTTCTTAATTTGCAGTGCGTTGAGCTCTCTCGGCCACCGTTGCCAGATGGAAACGAGCTTATGCAGCTTACTCTGGCTCATTTACTGTATTTTGTCTGTTGATTAATGAGCAAAGTCTCTTTAGAGTAAATAAACAAATCCACTTCCTGCGAGCTTTTATTTTGCTGGTGACATTTTGGGACTTTTATTATGGAGCTGTTGTGGTAAAACAGGAAGCAGCGTGTGACAGTGAGTATTCTGATAATGGACGGTGAGTTCGGGGTTAAACAGGGTTTGTAAGAAGTTCCTCTACGATACAAAGCTCACATTATGGATCACTGAGCTCCCAGCTGCAACAGGAACAAGGTAACTGTGTGTTTACTGGGATTTCTGTCCATTTCAGCGACATTTGATGTTAATGAACCTGCGAATTAAATGTGTTGTTGTCACAGGATGCTACAGCAGTTAGCTTAAAGGTACCACAGTGCCATGCTAATGCTAGCTAACTCTTGACACAGGATATTTGTGACACAGATGGTTCACCTCACTCTTGTTCATGGACACCCCCACTGTCTGCATGTTAAGTTTCAAGTTTTTAACCTTAGAATGTCAGAGGAAGTTAGAGTCAAATGTGGCTGCTCTTTTATTAAGGCACTCATAACTTACTCATATCTTTTTATTTTTATTTTTATTTGAGAGGTGACACAGATATTGCACCTCACACTTGTTTATGATGAGCACACTTGTCTGTATGTCAAGTTTCACAAGACTTTAATGTAGAATTTCTGGAAAAATAAAGGTAAATTTGGCAACTTTTTCAATATGGCACTCATAACTTGCTCGTATTAAATATTATTTTAAAAATAATATGTAAACACAATAATATAATCAATCATTTCGCAATTAGTTCTATAACAATAGCAGTTGCAATGTACAGAATAATCTAGAGCGATTGTTAGTGCATATGCACATACAGTCATGGAGGCTCCTTACTTTTCTCTGTTGAAGACAATGAAGTCTCTCTGGACGTTATCCAGTCGCTGCTGCATCTGACCATTCTGGAGGAGAGACAGCAAATCAAAAATCACTGCTGGCACTGCTTAAAATACAAAACAACAAAATCAGTAGCCAATATTATTCCGGCCACTGAATCTCAATCAGGCACATTAAATCTTCAGAGAGGAAATAAGTGACCCAACTTTAGAGGACTCTTGTGCTCTGATCTCTCCACCTGCACCTTGTTCTTGTACATATGTGGCACACTCCTGCTCCAAACTGAGCTCTGGCTCTGGGAAGCTGCTGACTCCCTGCCCAGAGTTGTCAGTCACACAGTCCAGCACAGCGGCTCGGTACAGGTGCTGTCACAGTGGGGGAGCCATTAAATTAGGGCAGGGATGTTGTAAAAGGACACAACGATGTGTGTGTAGACGTTTGGGTGTTTAGTGGGGAAAAGAAGAGGAAGCAGGTTATTTGGCAAATATCTTTGTTACCTGTGGGTTTATGGTTAAGGGGCCGTGTCACAGCAGGATCGCAAAATAAAAAACTGCAGATTTACATGAACACAGATGGATTGGAAGTACATTAACAGAACTGGGTGAGCTTATGTGTGGGCGCTGCAGGATGATTAAAGGACAAAGAGACTGACACAGAGGACGAATAATGTATCATCTGTCAAATGTTCTCACTGTGATAGATGTGGTAGGAAAAATAGTACAAGACAGATGAGACACAAAGTATGATGTAGTGTCTCTCTAATGATATATCCTTAGCTCTAAGGGCATGACGGTTCCTGACAATACAAAAATCCAAATGTAATAACCGTTTCCTGCTCTGTGAACAGAACCCCACAAAAATTGACAGTGGTGGCAATGGTCAAATATGTAATGGGGCTTGAAATTCACGTACAATGCAACAGTGATATTTCTTAAACTGTACAGGTCACTACTTGTTTATCCATCTCTTTTTGTCATCATTAAATTCTTTGAGAAAGACAGTTCAGAGGCTAATTGCTCCAACTGCTGGATTAAACTTTCAATTTAATGAGACAAACCATCAGGGAGTGCTCTGCTGGATGAGAGCCCATCTGGGACTAGTCTCCTTGTTTGGGCTCACTGTGTGTGTCTGAACACTGGGCCAACTTTTGTTTTCAATGCGACTGCTAATGTGTACAGCAGTTGGAAGAGAAACTAAGTGACATGTAAGCAATGTATGATCATTTAAATAATAAATAATACCCTAATAATATAAAAAATGCAAGGATGTGAAAGTAACTTCACTTTAATCAATGCTGTTGTTATAAATTATATATTTTTTATTGGTTTCCAATTTTCCAAACTGTATTTTTAAAAAGTTTATTGAAACTAAATATGTGACACATCAAACTCTTCTTAAACCGTAATCTCGTACGTATTGTTCATTAGATGTGGGGAATAATGGAAAAAAATAAATTGGTATTCTCAAAGTATAAATTCAATAGTCCAGTCACATATTTTACTTTCAGTCAAGCTTGTCATTTTAAGAAAACACAATGCAGATGCACTTTAACTTCTTGGACTACAGCTGTTTCACTGCTTCTGAAAATACGCATTCAGAACTAAACTGAAAACTCACTTTTAATTAGTAGCATGAGACAGTCTCTTCCAGTGGCCCATTGATTTACATGTCTCTAATCCTAATTCAGTGATTTTTACTTTACCTGCTATAGCGACCGCACATTTTAAAGCCATGTTTGACCTCACTTTGAGCTTGACTGCTGAGTTTTCCTCTTAAAGTGCAATAAAACAGGGCAGCTTGATGTGAGAATAAATAATTTCTCTTTTTACTGCATTTGGCCACTGATTGAATCAAGACTAAAACATGTTCATATCTTCCCATGACCAAAACACTATGTTTGTAGTGCTGAAACCCTCTTGTGTGTTCACATCACATGGTTTCAATGCATTTTTTAAATAATCTTGAACTTGAAATTTGTGGTCGATATGCTGAACTTAATAATAAGCAATTGCTTGTTTACACATCCAGAACCTACTGCACTTTTTTCTTTATTATGATAGTTTTAATTGCTCCACATCCAAAACTAACTCAAAATACCATTTAAAATGTTCTAACACCAACAGTATCTGGACGTGACAAAACACAAATGATGTGTTCTTGTATAATTTATTGAAATCTTCTACATTATCTCTGCTCTTGTGTTAGAATTATTACAGTAGGGCTGGACGCAGGACACTGAACGCTATCCAAACACCGGCACAAATGCACAATAACAGTGTTTTCCAGTGTATTTCATACATGCAGGACGCAATTAATGTGAATGGCATCTCTGATTAAAAGAGAGATATGTGTGTGTGAGTGTGTGTGTAAGACAAGAGCATGCCAATTTATTTTGTTCTCACAGCACAACTCCAATTTTCTGCTGTATATTATCAGTGATTTAATTGAGCTAATTCCATGCTGCATTATGAGCCTGGCAGCGACAGGGAGGCAGAAGCACAGAGATAAGAGCGGCTAGAAAAATGGAGAGGGCAGCGGTATACTGTTTGAGTGGGGAGTGAGAGCGATGTGTAAACAGCAAGAAGGAGTCTGAGGAGAAGGGAGGTGAAAGAAGGCTGGAGAGAACAAGGGAAGAAAGAGGAGTGAAGACAAATATGCAAAAAAATTACAGATTAGCCTCCGGGTAATGAGGAAGAAGTAGGCTGGGACAGCTCTCTTCATTCAATATTGATCTGCTATGCTTCAGAAATGCTGCTCAGAGCATCTCAACACACACACACACACACACACACACNCACACACACACACACACACACACACACTCACACACACACACACACACTTTGTCTCTTTCTCACACGCACCATCACAAGTGGTCCCACAGGTTTTCTGTAAGTGGATATGTTGAAGGATTGCACCAACACAAACTAATATTGGTCGACGGTAAAGCGAGTACTGTCCCTGACAGACAGACCAGCACACACTGCATAATATGACCACTTGTAATGAATAATAGATAACACTTGAAACAAGTCACTTTTATAAAAAGGTGAAAAGTTTCAGTTTTACATTGTACAGGAAATATTTGAGTTGATGAAACAGAAATAGAAAATACTTTACTTTTTACCTTTGTCAAGGCAGAAATGTGTCTTTGCTTACTTTTGCAAAAAGTGCGATAAAAGATACTTTAAAAACGCAGATGGTCACATCCAAACAACCATATTTAAAAGAAACGTTTGCATAAAAGAAACTTGCATAAAACACAACACCCAAATTTAATTGATTGATTGGTAAAATGTTGGCATCATGGAGTTACTGTCTTTTACTATTAAGATATTTTGTGGCAATATGGACGAATGATTTTCTGTAGACGTTTTTATTTGCTCTGGGTGAATCTGTACCTTTGCTGTGAAGGAAGGAGCTGGAAGTATTGATTTAGGGGATGGCTGTGGTTGTCTAAGATTTTGCTACGAAAGCGTTGTACTGCTTTGGTGATGGGACCGCAGTGCTTGTCTACAGCCAGTAATTGTACTGCCAAATTTTACTGAAAGTGTCCTGATGAGGAAGCTGGCTAACATACACTGTTATTCCAAACCTTGGCAAGTGCTTAGTCATATTTTAATATTTCTATATATTTAATAGATTTCTGCAGCTGTTGACCACGGTGACTTGACAGAAATGAATTCACTTATCTGAGTAAAACCTCCAAGAAAGCACACCAACTTCATTCATTCTTACAATAAATGAGGGATCATGTTTCCAAAAGACCTGCTTAACAAATACAGCTGAATATTATTTACCCAGATTTTGGTCAAGCTGCATTGATCAATTGAAAAATTTCAGTGGTTTGATTAGAACAAATGATACAAGAGTACAAAACCCTGTTTGTGACTTAATATTAATTTCCCTTAGTTTGACTATATGTTGTTACTTCACCAGTCTCCATAACCATTATATCCATTAATCATTTTTTTCTCTGAAAGGGTGCTATCTCCATTTCATTAGAATAGAAGACTTTCTCTTTGTGTACATGGGCCAAGGGGATTATGGATGTTGTCTGGCTGCACAGTGAGATATCACAGATATATTACAACAAAACGACAGGTCTCCAAAAGCTGTTGTCAACTTTTATGAAACATGGTGTACTTTGGGCCAGCTCTTATTTCTTATTGCAAGCTGGCAAAGTGTAGTGGTCTGGAGTGTAGACCAAACGAATTGCTCCGCTTCTATTAGAGGTAAGTTCCACAAACTGTTTTGTTGTTGTAATGTGCCAAAGAGTCGGGGGAAGAGCCAGACACACTGACTTTGCAATAGCATTGAAATACAAACATGCACATATAACCTGCATGTTTGTATTTCAGTAGAGTGGCACAATATTTAGGACAGCAACCAGAACCCAACACACAATGCTTCACTGCTGTTAATTAAAAGTACACAAATTTAAATCATGACCAGTTGGACTGCAGTTAAATTCATTACCTAATCTCTCTGAACATTTACTGTCTCTGTGGAAATAATATAAAGATTGAACATTGGACAGATGCCTAGAATTCAGTATGGCACTTCTCTGTTGTTCCGATCAATGGACTCTTCTACTGTAAATACGTTCTCCTGATAAACCTGGACGCCTGCTTTAAAGCGGCATCACTACAATCTCTCTAATGACAAAAGGAAGTGAAAGGAAATTGTTTTAGTTTAGTGTCTTAGTGATTAAACCATTTACTATATCCACTGAATCGACGTTAGTGAAGAGACTCAGGACCATAGACTGTATATAATGATGGACTACATGACAGATGTCCAAAAAGCAAAACAAAATCATTTTGATTGCCCCCTGGTGGCTCGCTACAGTATAAGTCATAAACCCTACCTTCTCCATGTAAGCAGACTGGACATTAACCAAACTTAAAAATCAATGTACATGTGACGTTTTTTGTTTCTTTCATTTGAGTTCTTCTCATACTGATGCAGGTCAAAGTGTACATTTAACCTGGTTTTATTTAGTAATTTGATGCTAGAAAAACAGGGTGAAACGTCGGGATTGAGAACAGACTCGCAATTGGTGGAGCACATATTGGTGTGAACTTGAAATTGCGGCTTTGCAATCACTAGTTCTCTAGGTCCAAATGACATCAAAAGCACAAATTCATGTTTATACACCGTCTATGCTCAGGATTGGTAGTTCTGTAACCTGCAGGGTCACATACTACAAGAGATTTACTCAACATGATGTAATAAAGACATGTCTTTGCATTTCCTATTACAATGCCTCCAGAACTACATTTGTACAGAGAGGACATTTAGAGAGCGCAGCAGAGTATTGAAGGAAGGGTAATAAACAGTAAAATTGTATATGGTAGCAGTCACTTGTGACTAATGGCACAAATACCATTTCTTGTGTTTACCCTTAGAGGAAGTCCTTTGCATCAAAACATATTCCTCGCTCTTTCTTGTCACAGAGAATGTTTTAATGTTTTCTCCAAGCGATTTAATACTCTGGGTTATTTTTTGTACATAAGATGCAAGTACACACAAATGAATGTGGTGTGTTATGTTATATGTTACCACAAAATATAGACAGTGCCTCTGATCATTTCCCACAATGACACCAGACCAAAAAAAAATCAACTCACTGCTGTTGGTCGTAGCTGTCAAACTGCTTTCCACTTCTCATACGTCTCACTTGACCGGGTGATAAAATGAACCTTTCATTGCTCCCCTCTCACTCTTTTGTATAAACACCCTGAGGACAACAGCTGATTTATGTATAGGCAGAGTGAAAGACTGGATATAAAATGCAAAAAGAGCAGGATGATTGCATTCTTTGCCCTCCCAATGCACACAGCAAGCAGGCTGCACATTTATTCTGATGAAAGACAGGGCTCTAAAATGTGTCCTTGGCTTTCCTGATAGCTACTCTAGACACGTTTTAAAAAGACAAACTAAGAAGCAAGTTATCACTTGGAACTGGGTCAAATGAAAGCAGTGGTCAGCCTTCTTTAATGAATAATGGAGAATTGAGAGGGAGAGACACGTTCATGTGTGAACTGAAGGACAGGACATACCAATCTAAAATTGAGTGATATTTATATTCAAACTCACTTCTTTGAGTAAAACTGAATTACCACCCTGGTATGCCTCCACCAACCTGTGCGGTAACTCTTTGAGTCCAAGTGACTGTTTTTGCAAGATACTGTATGATGATATTCCCTACGCATGCTCTTGATATGTTCCATTTACAAAAAGTTGCCGTCATTGTGACCTTGACATTTCAAAATCTGATCAGTTCATCCATGAGTCCAAGTGAACATTTGTACCGCATTTGAAAAGATTCCCTGCAGGTATTCCTGAGATGTCATGTTCACAATGCAACAAATGTGATTTTAGACCTTAGACCACTTGGCACTCTGGACCATGTCTAAATTATAAATGATCTGTAAAAGTAATTTGATGAAGCAAACCTGTCTTGGTAGGTGTGTCTTTACAATTCCTTTCCAGTGGTTGTTGTCTCGTCATTGTACAAACTTTTTCCACCAGACTGAAATGTTTATTTACTTAATGTTTATTATTGAAGCTCTTACCTGCGGAGATCCATCAGATCCCTGGTCCCTGGTCTTTCTAGCGAGCCGTTTCTTCTTCTTGTGAAGCGGTTTGGACTCCAGAATCATTTCCTCCAGCTCAAATGTGGGGTCACAGTTTAGCCTCCGCCTCTATAGAGACACATACACAATCAAGCACTTTGAGTAACTCTTTCAATTGATATTGTCAGGAGTATTAGGACCTGCAGTCATTTTCTATTTCCACTATAAAGTCAATATGTTGAGAATACAGTTGAAATAATATTTCATGAATAAACTCAACTCCTCATGTCCATCAAATCTAATAATAAAATTTAATAAATTGTGTTAGCATACCAAATGACACAAGGCATTGCACACTTTGATTTTACATACAATATTAAAGTTACGATGGCAGCAAGCCAATTAAGACAAAGCAGAGATGAGGGGAAACATCAGGGCTGACTCCCTTCCTGTTCAAACATTAATAGTCTGTAAGAGACTAAAGACAGAGGATGGGCCTATAATTAGAGAGACACTGTCGATTCCTGAATCGATCCTATGTGCTGCTCCTCTGCTGTGCCAGCCCGGCCGCTTGGGATAGCTGCTGCTCTACGGACTTTTTACTGGATTTAGATAAAGACATTTAGTCGCGTATTCACTTGCAGCAGTCATTATTCTCCGCTGATTTAGCGCTGGCACTAAGCAGTGACAGTTACTGTCAGCGTGCTACCTCACGAAAACAATACAGGGTGGTTTTTGAATTAATTCATCATTGTGTTGCTGTGATTGACTAGCGAGATGACTAATTATATTACTGATATTTCCACATATAAAACACATTGGCTCTACAGTATTTCTAAAGGAGTTATAGGTTTAGTCTGATTAAAGTACTCCAATGACAGCTATAGTTAATTCCTATTTTTTCCCTATGACACTTAATCTGATTAACTGTTAGGTAGGATGTGGACATTGCAGACTCACATTCAGACCCTGTGTTGTATTTTCTCCTGCGCAGTTACCAGCTGTGAAATGGGCCCCAGTAAATCACAGCACTACAGACGGAACACTGCACGTCATCGTGCCAAACCAAGCAGCTTGAAGCCATGAAGCCTGATGATATTATTATATGTGAGCACTTTCTCCATAATGATGCAGAGCCTAGCAGTACACCTGCAGGTAGACATGCAGTGACTCCCTCTTTTGTATCTTAGAAGCATGCACAAGTGTGTTGCTCTGTTTTTCTGCAGCTGTCCGTTCTGTCTGTCTACACACTCAGTGGGAGAGCCAGCTCAACCCAGCAGGGGGCAGTGTATACAGCTTGACATGAAAAGTGGCTACAGCTTCCTCACTTCATCTTTGTCCCTGTTGGGAGAATTACTGGTATGGGGGAGTGGCTGCAGGAATAGATGATATTATTCTGAAAAGTTTTAAAAGAGCAGAATCATTCTATTATAGCATGTTTGGAACAAGGCATCCACAATTTGTTCATTAGTTGTATTCTTTTTTTGTATGGTTGGTTTTTAAAGCATTAGATTGTACTGTGTTTTGTATTTTTTAGGGAATCAAGGTGCGGATTGCTGAAAGTGTAAGAAAAAATCATTTTATTCTCTTCTATTCAGATGCGAGCATTTTATTAGATAGCATACTGAGGCAGTGCTCAGCTTTTTTACTGATACTTACATTGGGAATAAAGCCTGGAGGAAGATGTTTGCTGAGCACTGCGACCCAGTTGACATCTGACATGTAGTCCAGATCCTGCAGCTCAGCTAGGCAGGAAATGCGCTTCTGGACATCTATGTAGAGCAACTGAGGGAAACACAGGGATTAGAATAAAACAATTGTTCATGGGTTTGAAAAGTTCGAGAAAGAAGCCCACTGAGACCTGAGCATGTGTTTTGCCCCCAAGGATGTGTCTGAGAATGAGGATACAGGGACTAAGGGGTTGGAGGTGGATAATACTGAGCAGGGGACACAAGAGGGTGGAGGGGGAGAGACATTAAGAGCGATAGAGGGAGAGGAAAAGAAAATGAGATACATAAAGCAAATGGGGATGAGGAGAAATCTGCAGGTTGTGAAGTGTGAAAGATGAACGACAATTATACCGAATTCTCTTATAGTCTCACTTTCTATACATTTCTCTCTCTCTCTCTCTCTCTCTCTCTCACACACACACACACACACACACACACTCTCTCTCTCTCTCTCACTCTCTCACACACACACACTCACACACACATGCGAGTGGAATACCAATGAGGTACGTGGAGTCTGAGCACGAAGCAATGCAACAGTTTGACTGCAGTGGATCCCTGCCAAGACAAACCCCAAAACCTACAGCAGCTTTGCAAGTGGTTTAATTGCGATGTTGGAAGAATAGATTTCTAGTAATTATGCAATGACGGAATGATGTACAAAATCAAATTATTGTAATAAGGGAATGGCATGAGTAGACATAATTTAAATGCTCTAGGTGTTTGCAGTTTGTAAGATCATGTCGACTTTGAACAGAGCAACAGTTACACCATGAATCACCATTCTTCAACAACAACATCCCTGTTTTTGAAAACTTAATTATAATTCTGAAGCTGTACTGCTTGCTGCAGGGTTTTTATTAACAAATAAGACTTGGCCACAATAATGAAACTGACGCCCTAATTAAAGACTCTAGATGCAACGTATCTGCCCAAAAAGTGCTGCTGTCAGTTATGGATATTTGTATTCCTACAGGGGAAAAAAAGTTAAATCCTAACTTTTACACTTTGTTTGGCCAAAATACAAAAAGCTATATTTAGAGCTTTAAACTTTAAAGCTTTATTACTGCAGAATCAACTGAAATCAACATGATTGAAGCTTTGTTGGTTGCATTTGCTGTCCAGTGGCTGTTGTAGGGCTGTGACAGCTCCCTATTATCTGTGCTTGTCTTTGCTTTTAAGTTTAACCTTTTTATTAATTATTGCATTCATACAAACTAAGAGATTTAGAGGAGAAATCACTCTTTGGTGAATGTTTACTAGCGGGGACAATCTTCACTCATTTTCAATTTCAGCTAAGCTTGGAAAAGGCACATTACTGCCTGTAAAAGTGAAATGAACCTCCCTTTATTCCTCTGCTCATATACAGTATAATCTGCATTATGCATGTGACAATATTTGACCTTTCTGAGAAGAGACTTCATCTCCAAAGACCAGCCTGCTGGGTAGCTGGGATGGACCTTGTGGAAGGTCTGAAGGATCTCATTAGCTGGTGTGCTGGATCTCATCACATATGGTCTCTGCAGGGAAGAAAAAGGAGTCGATATGTTACAGAAAGCTTGTACCTGTAGTTAAGCACTACCTGAAGGAGTTTCTTTGATGAAGTACATGTCTTAAAGTTTGTTCCTCTTCAGTTGGCCCTCTCTACTCACTGTCACACCTCCTGTTCTCAAGCTCACCATCTGTTCTTCACCTATTCCCTGCACTTAAAGGGTCAAATGACAGAGGAAAAAGATGAATCTCAAAATGCATATTAAACTCTCTCAACGGGAGAGTGCTCTCTGTGGGCCAGAAAGCAAAGGGAAGAGAAACAGGAGGCATGGGAAATGGGAGCAAACATGCGGCCTAGGTGGATGCCTCGCCATTCTTCACTTTTATTACAGTCTCTTTCAAATGCACGGTGGCAATCATAGTCCAGTTCTGCAGATGTGCCCCTTAGAGGACACATACTGTATAAGCCAAGGTGTTAGATAACGGTGAAATATTGTTTTGGACTCAGATGTTCAAAGTCGGATGATTTACCAGGGACAAATTGGCTCATGTATTACAATATATTTGTATTTGTTTGTAAGTTTACGACGTGGACTCTGTGTTTCTCCTCTGGGGTTGCAGAAGTTTTTTCAAGTTTATAAAAAAGCAGCTTAAGAAAAAAAAACAACGAGCGGAGGAGGAGTCACTGTCACTAAGTGGCTGAGTTGCTGGGATTTCTTTGTGCAACCTGTGATCAGGCCCAGCAAGAGAGCATGCTCAGTGAGAGAGAGGAGATAAATGGTCTGAAAACAGGGTTGGACAATGAAAAAAATTCAGCCAAGGTCTTACAAGTACATGCAGAGAGAGGGCGGGTGCGGAGACTGAGATGGCTGGTAAAATGCTATCAATCTTTTTGACACTTCACGTGCCCACCAATGTGGAGGCCCTTTCGGATATGTCCCAGCTCGAGTGCTGGCCAGGCTGACACTGTCTGGAAGTGAAGCAGGAATGAAGTGAGAAGTGGTCGGAGTTTAAGAAAGAGAAATGATGAAGTGAAGGCTGAGAAGGGCGTCAAAAGTTCCCTGGAGCCAAATCATATCATTCAGCACATCCAACAGGCCGGTTTTTCAACGCCCTGAGAGTGATTTATGCTTTCGTGACTGTGTTGAAATGTTGCTGTCGGGGAAAACAAAAAAATTTAGAAGAAAACTATTATAGAGATATTATAGAGACACTTCCAAAAAAGTGAAGCATGAGAAAAGGGAGTGAAATGGGGCTAAACTCTAAATTGTGCCACTCAAAAGTGATTTCTGGGTATGATGATGTGCTCAGCAACTCTCTCCTGGACGATTGAGGATTGAGGTGCACTTGAAAAATCACAGGGCACAAGTGTGAGGGATGAGAAAAGACAATCTGTGTCGCTTAGAGGTCCAACAGCTTGTAGAAGGGGTAAATGGGGGGGCTTTGGGAGAGATAAAGATGTTTCAGGGGGAGTGAGCTGTAGTTCCAAGTGCCAGGAAATGATTTCAACATCACTTTGTCACAGCTCCAGATCAGTTTCAGGTGTTGTGCGTCCTTGTCAACATAGCCAGAGGTTACTGTAGTTTGTGTAATCATCATCCTGAAACACGAGAGGACATCCTTCAGCTGCAGCCTTACTTGAATCCACAGTGATCAGGTCGCTGTAAACTCTGAGGCTCGTCCTGATAGATTGAGGAGGTAAAAACATAATGTCCTGTTTTTATTTCCATGGCATCCACATTAAACTCCTGCAGATGGGACCAGCGAAGAATCCATTAAATAATATTTAGAAGATCAATTCCAATTATATGGCTCTCGAAATATCTCGGAATCAATTTTTTTTCCCTCTCCTGCAGCGATTCGTCTCACACCACGACTAAACATTTCAACATTTTCCCTCAGTACAGCCAGGCGAAATGTATAATTTAATTACAGCTCCACCCGCCTGTTGTTCTGTGGAGGCTGTATATCTGCTTTCCTACTGACAGGACCTCTCCAGCACACTCTTGTAAGTGTCATATGTATTATTAACTTCAGTAAGAGTGTGCCAGGCCACGCTGGAGTGAGAAGAGAAGACACAAGACTATAATCACCCTGTGTGTGTGTGTGTGTGTGTGTGTGTGTGTGTGTGTGTGTGTGTGTGTGTGTGTGT